TTATAAGCGTTCTCGCTCGGTGTAGATCACCGATGGAAGAACGCGCTGACGACGTTGTCCCGCGACCGCGACTGCATTGGACTGCCGTGAGCGGATTATAAACTTGCCGGTTAGCAGATTAACTCCTATGCAGTCGTCGTTCTCGTTTGCTGTCTGATATGGTGTGTCGAAGAATCTGACATATTTTGAAGATGACACCTTGATCATGATTTTGGCGCTGACTCGCGTTGGTGTTTCCGTCTGAAGCACTTTTTCGACAAGCTCGCCACCCTCGGTCTCGTCTGATGTACGATCGAGGATTATCTTGTCTGCTGGTACAACGTCTAGTGTCCGTCCTGCTGCGACTCTGACGACGAAGTAAACTTTGGAGAAGTCGCGCCCGTACTCGAGCCGGGACTTCGCCTTCTTCTCTGCGTAGTCAACACGCTTGCACACGAAATCCCCTTCGTTGATGTCGGTTCCTGCAATTGCGCCTCGACGTTGAAGATGCGAGTTGTTGGACTTGGTGTGGATCTCCTCTGCAAACTGCGGTAGAAGCTGGCGTAGGTTGCGCGCTCGTTCGAGATCACGCTTCACCGGTGGCCCAACGCCTTGCGCGTTCTCCTCACGTATGAGCTGGCCGCAAAGTAGCTCGCTTGGTGCGAATCCTCCTAGTCGGTCTAGCGGTGTGTTGCGACTCAAAATCTGCAGAGCAGGCAACGCGAAAGGCCATGACTCCGGTGCGGCGTGACACGTCTTGAAAACCCGCTGCGCATCCCACCGGTTATCACGCTCTACTTCGTGCCGGCCTCTGGCGTCCTCTGACAAGGTGAGCGCCAAGTAGGTGCCCCTTTCTCGGAAGTCACGCTTCACAGCTTTAAAGGCCTGGTCTGCTGTTGCTCGCATGGGCCAGCCAATTTGTGGAACTAAGACTATACTAAAGGCGTTGAAAGCCTCTCGAGGAGATCTCGTCTGCACCGGAACGAGCCACACGAGCCCAATTGACCGCTCTACGACTCGCAGGACGTTGCGGTAAGTAACGCCGTCTATTGTAGCTGGCGGTAAGTCCGTGATGTGGTCGATCACCACTTCTCGGAAGAGCTCAGAAGGAGCCGGGTTGCACAAATACATCGAGTTGCTGTCCTCGGCTGCATGAAGCGCCAAGCACTGGAGGCACTTCTTGATGACTGACATGACTGTGATCATCAGCGTCGGCCACGAGAAGTAACGTTCCACGGCTTGTTTCGTTTTCATCGGTGAGGAGTGTAGTGTCCATTTTCGGTGCACGAAAGTCACGAGCGCGACGCGAAGGTGCGTTGTGGATGCTACGAATTCGTCTTGTAACTCGAAATCCGGAGCGCTCTGAAGCGGGATGTAGATCTTGTCGTCGAAGAGAAGGACGTCGCCAGATATTCGGAACCTCCCGCGCATGTTTTTCGCCTTTCTTTCTTCGGCTGCGGTAACTCGCTGACCTGCCAAGAAGCGCAGCATGAAACCGAACTCGACGCACGTCGCTTGCTTTTGTCGTAGCTCATCTATGGAGATGTTGTGCATAAACAGCGAGACTGCAGTCCGCTGAATGGAGTCACCATCTTGCGCCTCTGCGTCACCGTATGCTAGCAGAGCGAAACATCGGCCCGCAATTCGCTCTGGGATGTGCAGTTGAACTCCTGTCGCCATGGTTGACTGAAATCCCGATAGTCCTGCGAACTGCATCTTGCTCTTCGAGACTAGTACAACTACGCCCTGATACGGTCTACCACAGGTGATTACGCCGGTCGTATCGTCTGGAACCGCTGCGGAAACCTTCTCAGCATCGCGCAACTCTTGGATCGCTGCCTTCGCTGCTGCTTGCTGTTTGTCAGAAAGCTCGATTGCGTCTGATGGCTCGCCGAGAAGTCCGAGCCCAGATCCCGCGTCTGCCGTGTCGACTGGATCCTCACGCGTGAGACCCGGAAAAGACAGCTCCGAATCAAAGTCAGAGAATGCGTCTGAGTTCTCGCCTGCCTCTGTCTCGAGCGCCGCCCCGCACACTGCCTTGCTGATTGCGTGTTCTTTTGCTGCGTTCGCATTAAACGATAGCGCGAAAGCGTCTTCATCATACGAGAAGACCCACTTGATGCCCGCTGTGAGTGGGTCTTTGCCTACGTGCGGCATGAGCCCAGACAGCACAAGATGCGCGACCTCTCTTTTCGACGTTCTCGCTCGTCGAAAGGCGCCGCCAGATACTAGAGGGATTTGCACTATCATCGGTCGCTTGATCTCCTTGCGCAGCTCTCCTGCGACGACTCCGATCGACTGAGCTGCTTGGACTACTTGTTTCGATTAGTCTTTCTTCGTCATCGCCGACTTGCCGTCTGGCCCGACGACGTAGATCATCGCTAGATTTGTACCCGGCCAAGTCACGCTGGTGGCTGAGGATACCTTTGACCTTGCGTGCGTGTACGAAATTGCACTAGCTCCGCCTCGGGCGTCTCGTGCGACCGTTCCAGGATCTCGCACTGCGATAGCGACACACGACTTGATGAGTCGTTCTGTGTCTTTCACGTTTAGACCTGCGGCAGCAATTTCCGTCGCGAAAGCCTTATTGATGCCTTTGCCTCCATTGAAATACTTCTCATTTCCTGCGTTGACGCCAACCTGCAGCGAGTTTGCGCACTCTTTCGGAAATATCGGCGAGTGAACGGCGCGGGGTCCGAATGCGATGCGCTTTCGTGCGACTTGGACTTGCGTGTAGTCTGCACACGTGAAAGCCATGCTATCGGCGCTGTGTGACGCGACGTCCCTCGCCGCTTCATTAGTGTCAAACACCGTCACCGAGGCGCCGTCGTCGAAGTTGACTTTTGGTTTGATCTTTCGTGGGTTTGTCTTGTGCTTGTTCTTTTCGCTTGCTGCCGGTGCAGTCAGCGGCTGTGGCGGGGTTTGCTGTCGTTTTTGAGGCGCTGCTTGGTCTGGAGGTGCTGCCTGCTTTGGAGGTGCTGCCTTCTCTGGAGCCAAGATATCGTCCTCGACGTCGTCGTCTGATGACGCAAGTGCGTCGAACGTATTGTGGACCGGGCCCGCGGCTGGGGAACCTGGCTCACACGTCTCCAGTAGCGCTTGGTCGACGAGTGACTGTTTGGTCGGAATACCAGCTAAGATCTCAGCGCATATCATCTCGGTTTTCTTTGGAACGCGACGCCATCGCGTCTCCGTCAGTCGCTCGGCATACTTGCTCGCGGGGATCTCGTTAGGCTCTGGCGCGACGTGATCTTTTGCAGAGCCGTGGCCGAGGCACCGCGCATACACGATACCGGGCGCAGCCGAGAGCGTCTTGTAGTTGTCGCACTGGATGTCGTCTGAAAACATCACGCACTTGAAGCTCACATCAACCGCAACCGCTCCGAGTGAGAACCCGCGCTCAAGTGGCGAAACAATGAGGAATTCACACATGTCGTTTCCGTGATGACCGTCGACAATTTTGGCGCTGTCATCCTGGCCCCATCTTCGTCCGATGAGCGCTCTCGCAAACCGGAAGCAGGCGAGCTTCGCTGGCTCGGTTCCGCCATATTTTGCTGCTGAGAACCACTTGCTCACTTTTTGCTTCTCCCCTGCATGTACTACTTCCACCTCACACACGAAGTTCTTGTAGTGGTAGAGGGTTGACGACGAGAGATCTTCCTTGAAGAAGATGCGCACTGGTGTCAGCTCTGCGTCGGTATTGCTTAAAAGCTCGTCCAGCACGATCTTCGTCTTTTTCGGTGCGCCTGTCGTCGCTTTGCTGCTCGTTGCTGCTCCAACTCGCTGACACGTGGCTTCGTCGATGACTATGTGTTCGATCGCCAAGTCTGCCACGTCGTCTGCAGCGCGTAGTGCGCCAAGCGCGTACGCCGATGTTGCTCCCTCGCTGTGGGCATCACCAGGAGCCGAATCGAAATCATCGTCGAAGAACTCGTCTCGAAGTGCTCTATAGGTGGCCTCATAGTTTGGGTCTTTGCGCGACGACGGGTTAAGCAACCAGTGCTGCATCATGGAGCAGCTCTTCTGCACGGCTTTTGGAACGTCCGTCAATTCACTCGACTCGAACGCATCATAGAGACGCGAATTACCATCAGCAAACCGCAAAGCTGTTCCGCCGATCCACGCGAAGTAGAGCTCGTGCAGAAAAGGGCGCATCTTCATGATGTCCCGCTTGGTCGTTTCGTCAACGTTGGTAGAAAAAGCAGAAACTTCGAGGGACTTCGGATCGTTCGTCTGATGGTCATGCCCCACTATGGTCGGCCAACCCCGCACCAGTGGGTAGAGCTCCGTGACAGCAATGCGCATTGTCCTTAACTCGCGGCTTTTCGCTGGGCGGTTTTGCTCAACCGTCCATCCGCGACGTATGACCTTATGCGTACGGACATATTGCTCACCGCCATGGAGGCTTTGCTGACGTTGCTCTTGCGTTGCCGGAGGCTCCCCAGGCCGGGTCGCGTATACCCCGTGGAGTGAGGCGCTCATGCCTTTTTTCGAAGAGTCGCCGAGGATGTAGAAGAAGAGGACAGACGAGAAGTCGATTGGATAAATCACTAGGGTACGGTCGACCGATGTCACTAGCTGCTTCCAATACCGGTTAGCTTTCTCATCGCTCGGAAAGAGTCGCATTGGGAGGTGCCGCTTATTTGACGCCGGCAGCGTGTACCGACGTAGGTGGTCCGCAATCTCGACGTATGCATAGAGGTAATCTCGGATACCCTCCCACGCAGTCGAATTGATTAGCCCCTGGATCGACTCTTTTGTTGCGACGCACTTCATGTTGTCGAGTTTCAGAAGAGCTTTGTCGCCGACCGCTTCACCGCCACACTCTGTTCGGCGGAGGCCCAATCTGGCAGACTCCAGCTGCGCGACCTGATTTTTCTCTAGGGAGAACTGAAATCCCTTGAGCAGCGCTGCCGCGAGGAGTCGCCCGTCAGCGTCTACGCACTGATTCTCGAGGAAGACACGCCCGTCGATGTCCTCGACTGCGTGTCTGATGTCCGTATTCTCGGCGAATGCCCACGTTACCACGATGGACACTGGTCGATGTAGCTCTCCCGACACTGGTGCTATTGCCTGCGCTGATCCGCCGGGAGTGAATACGTGGAGGATTGTGCCTGCTAAGTCTCGCGTTGTTATTGATGTCAGTGCGTTCCATTGAACATCTGTGAACCGATCGCGCCAGCTCACTGTCGCAAACGCTTGCATGATTTGCACCGAAACCTTCGGCGCGCTGTCCGGCGTGGCTGGGTCTGCTATCGGTGCCTTCGGCAAGACAGACGCCGCCCGCCTCGAGTCCGATATGTCGAAGCCGATCGTGTACATGCCTGCGTTAGCTGACGCGCCTCGCATGATCTTGTCCGACACTTGCTTGTGGAGGTCGATTCGTTGCTTGCTCTTCTCTGCTCTGTATCGGTACTGCTTGTCGCCGATGAAGTCGAACGGAATGCCTGGCATTGACCGCAGCTGCTGCTCGCTGTCTGGCACGACTTCGGGCTCGTCTATCGTGAATGTAGGTCGATCGATGAGCAGAACCGGAACCTCTGGATCAGTCAGATCAGGCAACGCGCTTGCGTTTTTGACCTGGACGAACCTGTCGTCCCCGCTGGCCTCTATGTCGTCGACGAACGTCTCGAAGATCATCTCGTTTGCACCCGACTCCATCTGGCCGAATGTCGTGTCTGTCTCCGCGTTGAACAACGGTGGTAGCTGTTTTGCTCCTAGAGTGGAACCTATCGGCGCCAGTAGCGGCACTGCCGAGACGTTGGACTGCCATGCGACCAACCGTGACGTTTGAGGGGACACACGCAGTCCAGAGAAGCCGAAGTATGCGTCCTTTCCGAACTTGAATCGACGGATTATTGACGTCACCGATCGCGGCTTCGTGTACCACACTGGGCCTAGCGTGTTTTCGTTGTGGTCCTTGTAGTGGATAGCCACTCGCTTCTCTGGCTTGCCCGCTGGGTTTTTCACGTCTGGCTTCGGAACCATGAACCCCGTGGAGATTCCAAGCGGCATGCCGATCTCTGACGCCAGCGCCTTGTCATACGGTCTGTCGCGCCCGACTTTGACCGTGGTGACGACGTGGTGCGTCATAGCCTCCGTGTCATACGCTCCAAGTGCGATGGCTCGGCCAACAAACGGCTCTGCGCCAGGCGCAAGCGTCCACCTAGCCTCGGCACCTTCGATCACCGGATTGGTTCTGCCTGGTGATTGGTACGCTTTACAGCGGTGCGCGGCGGATGCCGCAAGCCGTAGACCAGTCTCGGCTGATAGCTCGCTTGGGAATTGCGACGTGTAGTTCTGGACAACTTGGATCTCGAGCTCCTCGTCCGCGACCTGCGCGTCGTCCTTGTCTTGCAGCTCCCGTAGGCGCGCGCGCAGCTTCATGATAGCATCTGGCGCTTTCTGCGCACGAGACGCTTCACGCTTTTCCCACTTGGTCACCTTGACACACTGTTCCTGCTGCAGCATGTATTCCGCGACTTGTTCCGGATCAGCTATATGCTGAGCCATCGCAGGCCCGCGGCAAACCTTGTCCTCGAACTCGTCGTCTTCTAGTGTTGGCGCGATGTAGTCGCCAGACTCGTTGTGCAGCACGAGCTGCACCGGCGGCGCTTTGCTGAACTTTACTGCTTCAGGGGCGCACTGGCGCGCAAATACCGGGGTAAACCATCCACCCTTGGCTATCAGTCTTGCCGTTGGTTCTACTACTATGAAGCCATACCCGAGCTGTGCCTCACGCGGAAGGTTGATTTGGACGATAGCTGACTGTTTCGGCCCGAGCAAGTCATTCGACAAGACCGGCACTGGCGTGACCGAGATCGACGGAACTCGAGTGATGATCACTGGGCGCGCTGCGACGGGGCAGCAGTTCCTGATGTGACCCTCGAGGTGGTCCAATGTTGGCGGATGCGACATTTCTGGTTGAATTCCATCTAGTAGCACAGGCTGGCTCGGGACCATGCCAATGCGTAGCAGCTCGAATGCGCACAGGTTTAGTGGCGATCCGGTGGGCTGCGCTGACACTAGAAGAAGCACCGTCGCGTTGATGAACTTACTCGGGTCGTGCCTGTCATGGATCTGGATATCGGCGAAGCACGACGTCGTGAACGAGATGCGAGTTCCAGAAGGTATGAACTGTCCAGCCCGCAGATCGACGTCGCATATCGGGCGAACTGCGTCTTTGAAGGCTGGGTTTGTATTCCAGCTCTCGTACAAGTTCGGATCTACCACATTTGCCATTGTGTTTCCTGTATCGCTCTCTGCCCAGTACTTGTGACCAGCGATAGACACGGCCATGTGATATCCGTGTGGCTTTGCTGGGTCTGCTTCGGTCGCGGCTGCCGCTGCGCCGACCCGCCCGTGCGTATGCGTCGCTGCAACTGCTGTCGTGTCGGGGTACATCGAGGCAAGGGCAAGCTTCTTGATCTCCGGCTGCGGGTTGGCACTGCCGTCCGCTGGACGAAGAACGGCCATCCTTGGCTGGATCTGCGTTCCGCTGGCGTTCGTGATAGGACGCCCGTATACTGCGGCCAGCCCCGACGCCGCTGGTTGTTGCGCCGTGGCGCTCGCGACTGCTGGCTGATGGGTAGCAGATCCGGCTCCGGCGGTCGGCTGCTGAACCTGCTGCGCCTGCGGCTGCCATTGCGTAGGCCACTGCTGTGAGTAGTCCTGCCATGACGCGTCGTCTGCCCATCCCCATGATTGTGTGGCAGCGCCGTAGTCTACGGAGTTTACAGACTGCTGCGGCTGCTGCGGTCCTTGCCTGCCGTAGTGTCCTTTGCCTTTGCCTTTTCCTTTCTTGCCTTTGCCCTTTCCGTTGCGCCAGTTTGGATCCGTCCCAGCGCCGAGAGCGCCTGCTGTCTTCGCAGCAGCGTCTGCGTCTCGTTGCGTCTTCTGGGCCTCCTTAGCACGTTTCTCTGCGTCTGTTTTCTCTTGCTGGGCCCTCAGGGACTTGAGCACCTCGGTGTCGACCTTGATCTCGTCACTGATGCATTGATTGCATCCCGACGCCTTGTTTCGGATCGGCTTGATGCCTGCCTCCTGCATCCACGTATTGATACACGGCAGCTTTGTCCCCGACGTTGTGCTTATCTGGTGGTTCCCTGCGCATGTCGTGCAATCGCCCATGTGTCCGCCTTGCATCTCCTTGAGGCCATGCCTGTTGATCATCGCCTGTAACCACTGGCGGTGATGCGAACCGAAGTGGCCTTTGCCGTTGCACTTGGTTTTGTCTGGCTGGCCAGCGCCCGTCTTTTGCTGCTGCAAGAACATGGCTAACTTGTCAGGGTCTACTTGCTTGTCCTTGGCGAACGCGTTGACGCTCCTATTCTCTTCAGGCGAGAGCGTCTTGCTTGCTCGTTTCCCGTGAGGTCCGCCACCGGATCCGCCGCTGCCTGCGTTGGCTCCGCCGCTGCCCATCTGGAGCCCCTCCTCAGCTTGAGCCTTGATGTTCTTCAGCAGCATTGCCAGCGTGCGTTCGCTTGTCTCTTTTCCGAGATGGCGACAGCTTTGGCGAAACTCCTTGACATACTCATCCGGAAGCACCGAAAGAAAGCGGGTCATGATCTCGGCGATGTACGAGTCTTCAGACTGCTTTGTGTCTTCCGTTGGTGCTTGCTGCTTGCGCGCCCTTCGTTCCGTCACCCATGTTTCGAAATGCGTCTCCACATTTCGCACCCACTCGTGCACCGCAGAAGCGGACGTGTTGGCGGGTGTTGTTTCACGGAGAACCTCGAAACTCAGGTCCACTGCGCCCTGGTCTGACTCCGGGAGTCCAAACGCAGACCGGATGTCCGCGATGAACTTCTTCACCAGCTGCTCGTAGCTATAAGTGAGGGTATTTTTGAGCACGTACTCTTCCAGCATGAGCGGATACTGGCGCTTTGCAGGCGGCGTCTTTTCCTTCTCGAAGAGGTTGAAGAGCGTCTGCAGTGTCGCCATCCGTGCCATTGCTGCTTTGTATATCTTGAGGGGAATGCCACCAAGATGCTTTGCGTTATCCGACCCGAGCTGGTCCCAGACTGCCTGCCAGTTCCTGTGCGAGCGCTGGATTAGCAGCTGTAACGCATCTAGTTCGGCTTTCGCCTGAGCTTTCTCAGCCGTCTTACCCGTGTATTCTGCTCTCATGGATACTGTCTGCTTGTTCTTCACGATGTCCGCTGCGGACGCTTGCTGGGTACCTGAGGATTGCGCGATGCCTCCCGTTGGTCTTGCGTCGACCTGCAGCACCGCTTGCACCACCACGCCCGAGTCCGTGTCAGGCACGAACATGTCGATGCTGCGCACCGCCGACACTGGGTACATGACTGCGTCTGCTATCCCCTTTTTGATAGATCGCAGGATGCCTGGTCGTTTTTCCGCGTCTAGCAGCTCGATCGCCTCGACGCTATGCACTGTAAAGTCCACTACTACTAGGTTTGCCCTCGCCGCGTCCTTCGCGTCTTGTGGCGTCTCCCACTCAGCGATGTAGAAAGCGTTGAAAACTACCTCGTCATCCGCGATGGATGCGCCTGCGTCCAGCCTACCAATTGCCTGTGCCGCAGCAGCGTAGCTCTGCTCAGCCTCCTGCGCCGTCACTATGCGCACCTTACCGAACTCACACGAAGAAGCCCCCTCGACGACCGCCGTGACGTAGACGCGGAAACGTTCTTCTACGTCCTGGACTGCTCTTGGTCGGTGTGAAGCTTGCTGCGGCATTGGTACTGCGCATGTTGTCGTTGAGCACCTTGACGCTGCATAACCTGACTTGGTGGCATTTACAGGGTTTGGGTTAGCGATCGACGCTGGTTTCTCAGTCTGCTCAGATTCCGAGACATTGTCTAGCGCTTGGTCCGCGAACGTAACCGTGCCTTGGATGATGATTGACCCTGTGTAGAGGACTACCGTCACTGCAGACTCAGGGACTCCAGCCTCTGTAGCGATTGCTGTCACTATCAGCTGGCGCAGTTTTTGTCGTTCTGCCAGCGGAAGAGCTGCTGCTTTGTCTGCATGCACTGACTCGTCTGTAAACTGAAACCACACGACGTTGGCATCGGTCCCTTGTTGCGCTACCAGCATAACCTGCGGGGCCAGCCGTCGTTTCTTTGCCGTTGTGGACGATGCTATGCCGAGGCCTCGCGGGAGGACTATGCCTCCACGTATGGCGAGGATCGCGTCCTCATCATCTGGGAATTCGTCCGCGAGTTCCGCCTCCGTTATCGTCTCGTCGCCTCCGCAGTCGAAGTCACTGTCGTTGTTGATCATGACGAACCGCGTGGTTGTGTCCTCCGGGAGCGCGTCAGCCGAGTAGAAGCATCGTTCCTCGCCAGCGTATAACTCGAACTCGTCCACCGTTGTGTCTTCCGTGGTGACGACTTGCGGCGTCGCCGCTGCCACGGTGTCCTCGATGTTCTTCATCAGCCGCTTCTCTATTCCTGCTAGGAGAGGCCCGAGCCTGGCTTGCACTTGCTCAGTCACCTGCTTTGCGATGCTGTCTCTGAACTCGTCCACGCGAAGCTGCATCGCCACGACCTTGCCATCCTGCTCATCGACGCGCTCCGAAAGAGCGCGGAGCTTCTCTGTCCAAGCGTCATGCTCCTTTTTGTGCTCAGCTCGCCACGCGTTTGACTCTACGCGGAGGTCACAGATGAGCCTCGGGCAGTCGCACGTGTCTGGCTTGGGGATCGGTCTGGCTTCGATCTTTGCCATTCTGCCCCTCATGTTTGCAACGAGCTCCATATCGTCACGAATCTTGCCGATTTCGTAGCAGAGGTCGCGCTTGTTGTCCTCTACTTGCTCTTTTAGCTGCTCTAGGTCTTGCTGCAGAACCTGTCTTGCGCTATCGTCCTCGACGTTCTCTGGAGACCCAGCTGTTGGCGACATCGCGAAGAACTGCGCTCCTGTTTCTCTTGCGTCGAGTCGCGCCCTAATGGCGTCCACTTCGACCTGCATGGCGATGAGGCGTGCACTCGTAGCGGCAGCCTGCATCTGCGCGTCAGTTGCTGTCTGTGCCGCTGCTCTCGTAACGTCTGCTGAGATGCCACTCGTGGACAACTCGGACGCGAGTGTTGCTTTGGTCACTACGTTGTTTCTGATCTCCAATAACGCACTGGAAACTGATGCCGCGTGTCTGGTCACCTCCTGATATAGCTCGATAAGCCAGGAGTGCGTTGTTACTACTTGCGACTTCACCTTTTCCGCGTCTTCTCGGAGGAGGTCTGCTGTCTCACCCGTCTTGTGCACTAATCCGTTTAGTTTGCACACGTGCTTGCCCAGGTCGTCGAGCATGTTCTGCATGCTGCCGTCGTCTGCCTGCTGACCGAGCTCAAACGCTCCGGCCTCCGTGACTATCTGCTGCAACGTAACGTGAACACTACGAAGCACTGCAAAGTGCTCCTTGACCCCGCTGGACGGCACTGAGTTCATGCTCTCGTCCGAAGAAGCTAGGCTATCGAACGCCTGCGGCGGAGTGCCAATATCGATGCCCTTCACGACCAAGCTCATCTTTCGGCGCAGATGGAGCTGATCGGTTTCGTTTGACCCGAGTGTGCGGCGAAGCTCGTGTGCTTCTTTTTGTCTCCCTTGATCGTTGTCAGAATGGTCAAGTGAGCTCACTAAATCGTTTACAGCTCCAGCCTGTTAGTGTTACTCGGGGCGGCTGTAATTGCTTTTAGTCCGTTGCAATCTCCGGTAGGATTGTCGGAACTTGGTAGCAATTGCACCACGCTGCGATTAATGATCCACCACGATGGAGTAGTGGCCTCACAGCACCTGTTGAACAGCTTCTGCGGTCGTACTAGTCGAGTCTTGCACTTGATTGTCGCAAAACTTTTAGAACAACTGTCGACTTGTTCGCGAATCCGTCAAAATGCCACTCTTTAGCTCGCAAAGCCTTGGCAAGCCGTTGCTTAGTAGAACCTCAAATGCGCTGCTTCGCAAAACCTCAAATGCGCCGCTTCGCAAAACCGTCCGAGGCCGTTGCTTCGCAAAACCTCAAATCCGCTGGTTCGCAAAACCTCAACTGCGCCGCTCCGCAAAACCGTTCGAAGCCGTTGCTTCGCAATCGCAACACCTCAAAGCCGCCGCTTTGCAGAACCGTCCGAAGCCGTTGCTTCGCAAAACCTCAAATCCGCTGCTTTGTAAACCGTCCGACGGGTTGTTTCGCAACACGCTGCTTCGCAAAGCCTCAAATCCGCTGCTTTGTAAACCGTCCGACGGGTTGTCTCGCCCTCAGCGCGCTGCTGCAGCCGTAATTCGCAAAACCACGAGAAGCCGCAGCTTGTGTCGCAAAGCCTCAAAGTCAAATCTGTCGTCGGACCGAATTGCAGTTATCTGTTAGTCTTCTGCGATTCTCCCTCGGATGCTGCTTGGGGTGCTGGCTTATCTTCCACCGTGCTATCCCGTGGCCAGCTGCAAGACAAGACGTCACCCCAAGACGTAGCAGGGAGAATTGCAGCCGACCTTAACGCTTTTTGCGCAACCACTTGAGGCTGATTGCTGTTTCGCAAAACCTTTGAGAACCCGTTTTCTCGCAAAGCCACAAAGCCGCTGCTTGCTTCGCAACACCTCCGAAAAGCCGATACTCGCAAAACCACAAAGCCGCTGCTTGTTTCGCAAAACTGTCCGAAGCCGTTGTTTCGCAAAACCACAAAGCCGCCGCTTTTCGCAAAACCGTCCGNTGCTATCCCGTGGCCAGCTGCAAGACAAGACGTCACCCCAAGACGTAGCAGGGAGAATTGCAGCCGACCTTAACGCTTTTTGCGCAACCACTTGAGGCTGATTGCTGTTTCGCAAAACCTTTGAGAACCCGTTTTCTCGCAAAGCCACAAAGCCGCTGCTTGCTTCGCAACACCTCCGAAAAGCCGATACTCGCAAAACCACAAAGCCGCTGCTTGTTTCGCAAAACTGTCCGAAGCCGTTGTTTCGCAAAACCACAAAGCCGCCGCTTTTCGCAAAACCGTCCGAAGCCGTTGTTTCGCAAAACCGTCCGAAGGCGCTGTTTCGCAAAACCGTCCGAAGGCGTTGTTTCGCAAAACCACAAAGCCGCTGCTTGCCTCGCAAAACCACTAGCCGCTGCTTACTTCGCAAAACTGTCCGAATCCGTTGCTTCGCAAAATCGATCGAAGCCGTTGCTTCGCAAAACCAAAAAGCCACTGCTTGTTTCGCAAAGCCACTGGGTCAGCGTCTTTCGTTTGACTTCGGATGGGTGTCCAGTTAGTGCTACTGCGATTCTCCCTTGTGTGCTGCTTGGGGTGAATCTTCCGTCGTGCTCTCCCGTGGCCGGCTGCAAAGATGTCACCCCAAGACTCGATAGGGAGAATCGCAACCGACCGTAACGCTGCCGCGGCCGTGGTATCTCTGGGTGTCGTGTACTACGGTCGACTGCAAGAAGAAGAAGTAGCTGCTGCAAGTCCACTACTCTACTAGAAGATAGAGGCCACGTAAACACGCGCGGAAAAGGGGAAAGCTGCTTATCGGAAAAGTAGAATTTGACGTAGAAGCACTGCTTGCTGGTTGTTAGTTTGGTTTGCGATCTCCGCTTCGCAGCTTGGGAGTGGCTTTGCGTCTGGTTTCGGTTATCCTTACCTTGCTAGGCCAGCTGCAAAGACATCCCAAGTTGCGAAAGGGAGAACTGCAGCCGACCTTAAGACCGGGCCGCGCTGTCTTCGTTAGCTAACCGCTCTACTAGAAGTCGCCGAGAGGAAAAAAAATTTTACGCTTTTACTCCAACGGCAGTCTTCGTCAGTCCGCGTAGCGCACCCACGCAAGAAGACTTCTCACCAAGAAGAAGGAAGAAGAACAAGAAGATAGATAACGCAAGCAAGCACTTTCCGTCGGTTAGCCAGCGCGCTCCTTCTGCTTATCTTGTTCTTCGTGTATCTATCGCATGTCGCTGATAGTATTGCTATCTATCCTTATGTTGTTGGTTTTTTATTTTTTTTTAAAGCACGAGACTAGTGTAGTTGTATCGTGCTATTCAACTGCGGTAGTTGTTCGTCGTTGCCATCGTTTTACTGTGCCGGATGATCGAAGTCGGATTCGATTCTCGGCTGTTGCACCAATGTAACCGAAATTGACTGTTCTCTCCACGCAACAATTGCCATCCATGTATTTGGGATTGCGTGAACACTTGAATACTTTGTTCAAGTTGTAGCCAAGTTTCAGGAAACTTACTCACTTTGTTGTTTACGTGTTGCTTACTTGCATATACGTGAAAACGTAGTTACAATCTAACTCAAAACAAACGTAGACTACATCGTCGAAGGATGATCATAGGTTGAGAATCGTTCAGGAGTCTCAGTGTTGTTTTGTCGTGCTTCTTTGTTGTGCTTGTACTTACGTGCACACCGTTCTTACGTTCTGAACTGAACTAGCTTGCTCTCGCTGACAAACGTCTAAAACTCATGCGAAGTTCTGTCATACATGACCGATTTCAGACTTCGCACTTGGACCTTCACAACGTGCCAGCTCTCTTGACAACTCTTGACTGTCAGTTCTGGTTACACCAACTAGCACCCGCGTACATCACAAACCTCAACGGAAGAGACGACAACCGCCGCGGGGGAGCAAGCTTGGCGAGATCTATACACGCACTCAGCGACAGCGAAAGGCACCGAGTTAACTTGAAGTCGCCACCCTCTTGAAACACTCGCAGCATAATAGGCCGCAACAAAGGACGCGGCCTCCGCTCACACAAGGCGCAAAAGGCGAAGCTCAGCCACAACTTGCCACACAAAGAAGCCGCCTCACCAAGCTGAAGCGACTTGGGGCGCCCCTCTAATGACTTGACGTAGTCAAGAGTACACGCCGCAGAAATGGCCAACGCAGGGCGACCCCGCAGCAGAAAAACTAAGCCAAGCAAGGCAATGCTCTCACTAGACGCGTCGACCTTCTCCTGCTTGTAGCTCCAACCCAATTCGTCGAGAAGCCGACAGATTGCACAGCACTCGCGGACATCTGGCCCCAGCCCGCCCTAACAAAAGAACGATAGCCACCAACGAAAACCGAGCGCAAGATCTTGAAAGGCCCGCAAATGGCGCTAGATAAAAAGCTGCGCGACTCGAACCCACACTATGACATAATGCGCGTTACCAAGAACAAAGCTAGTAGCCTCAAACGCCACCCACCTATTCAAAGACGGCGAAAGAACCGCGACAAAGTTGCAAAACTCACGACCCTCCTCAATGCCAGTAGTCTCGTAAGCCTTCTAAGTATCGACTGCTATGCCATCGATGCACAGCCCTAAACCCTGCGCGCGATCGTCTGGATTAAGACCAAGCCTCAGCGTCGTCGATCATGCGGCACCTGGGACGTTGATGCACTGCAAATCGTGGCGCGAGATGTTTTACAGAGGGAGGCAGGTCTCTAATTTCGTGCGGACCCTCCAAAAGGCCAGACTTGACCTCCTGCAAAGAAGTGCCCCAAATTAGTGCCAGCGCGCCACTGTCTAAATACCCTGGAGCAGCTCTGCGCGAGAAAGATGAAGTAGAGCAGCGTCCTCTGGCGATCGTATCTATCAATATCGTCACCCGCAGACTTTGACCTTCGCAACGGCCAAGAAGCAAGATGGGCAAAAAACTGGCCCGAAAGTTGAGCCGCCGAATAAAACAAGCTCCCACGCAGTGGCATCAGACGGATGGCGCAACTGGTTCAACTTTTTCAGCAGCGCAGTGCCCTTGCACTCCAGCACTCGCTGACTAGACCTATCCACAGACCTCCAATCCTGAGGCGAAGCCGCAGGACAGAACGACTCAGATTCCAAGGAGACAAGGAGACGAAGACCCTCCGCGATGGACTCCACTGCCGGGGAGCCGCCCTTGATAGATGAGAGCTAGACTCTCCGGGTCAATGACAGGAGGCGCCGCAAGCTCACACACTAGAGCAGAGCCGTCGAGGATGCGACCAATGTACTCGACTGCGTCCCTTACTTTCGCCTTCTCTGCAGCCCTAGCTGCTCGACGAGACTTCTTTCTTCGTCAGCCGACCTCACTTGTAACGTTAAGAGCCTCCACTTTAAAAAGTAGAAAGAGTGCACTATGCCCTTCAAGATACTACGACGCACATAACTAAGCGCGATCGCAAAAGAGAGCCCACGACGCTTTTAAGAGCGTCTCTGCGTGCTTTTTTCGACAAGTCCGCTTTTGCCATTTTTGACACTCCGGCTCACACTCAGAGAAAAGAGGCCCCGCACTCTCATCCTGTCACCATCGACACAAGAAGACGCCAACGACGGAGCGAGAGAAGACCAGCGCCGTGTAACTTCGCGGGATTAGGAAATTTCCACTCAAAAGGAGGAGCTCACACTCGTCAGATTTGTAGACTACTGCTCACGCGATCGCCGCTACTATTATAATGCAAACAGCGCACTGCAGGCTATTCATGACAGGAGATGAGTAGTCACAAGAGAAGAAAAACCCGCGACGCACGACTCTCCTCATCCGTCAAAGGGTAACTTGCGGCCTAAGCCGCTCAGCTAGCGAGCCTCTGATAGACGACAAGAACCAGGCGCGGGTGGGTGGGAAAAAAGAGAAAAACAACCACCAATACACAAACAAGAGAACGAGGCGTGAGCTTTGCGTCGGGTCTTTACACTCACGGCCCATATAACATATAGAGAACGCGAGGCAAGTTCCTGCTTTCTTCTTCCTTTCCTGTCATGAGCGCCCTCTAACGCAAGACTTAGAGGCCCACTCATGACTTTGAAAGGCTGAAAGGTGGGGGAAATAGACACGCGAGAACGTTGCAGTTGCTTGCGAGCCAGCAAAGGGGGCTTAATCCAGCCGCAGAAAACTCAACGAAAGAGAGGAAGATGAGAAACGCTCCCGGTAGTGCGAGATCGGCAACGCGACCGCGAAACACTGTCCCCGTCAACGGAGGGGCGCGCGTTTCCCAGAAAACGACGCCAAACGGGAGCACCCGGACACAGACCGGGTCACCAAAAAAAAGCAACCACAACCACCAACAAAAAAAAGCAACCACCCTAAACCCTAAAACACAGACAACCAAGAAAAAAAGAGCCAATTTGCAATCGCAAAACCACTGGAACAGACGACGGCTCGGCCGATGAGTGCAGGCGCACGACCACGGTGGAAGAAAGCCAAGGTCTAGAACAAAGCCACTTGATGGGGTAAGGGGAGAAGCCGCAGCCCAAGAACAAGGAGGGGCACAAAAGGAGAGCAATCGGCAGCAGTCCGGTTGAGAAACAAATTTGGCGACCAAAAGAACGACAAAGATACAAAGATGGGCCAGGCCATGACCCACAGGCTTGGCCTGAAGCCGCCATCAGTCGCAAGTTCGGACGAACAGACAAAAAGTGAGCAAAGCCCAAGGGCCCAGAGCGGAGACAACAACAAACCGAGGCGCACTGCCCACAAATCGCGCGCACGGCATGAGGATAAAAGAACCGGAGCGCAACCTGCAACGGATGCCGGCTTTGAACAAGTATAGTCGGATCAAACCGAACTGAGAAACATGGTGGCAAAAAAAAAGAGAAAAACAACCACCAATACACAAAAAAGAGAAAGAGACGCGAGCTTTGCGTCAGGTCTTTACACTCACGGCCCATGTAACATATAGAGAACACGAGGCATGTCCCTGCTTTCTTCTTCCTTTCCTGTCATGAACGCCCTTTAAAACAAGCTTTAAAGGCCCATTTGTGCGGCTGGGCCCTGCGCGGCTTTTCATTCACATCACTCCCTTGTGTTTGTTTTGCGAGCATTCACCAAGAACAAAACCAAAAGAAAGCAATGCATGGCAGTGGGCTCACTGGACGGGGAACACGCTTCCGCGTGGGTCCTTCAAATGGAAAAACACAACCCAAACCACAGCAAAAAGACGCGAAGCGCGGGACGGCGTGGGGCAAGGACGCTGCGGAAGAAATTCCAGCGGGAGTAGCCGTCGGGCAAGAGCTCGACTTCGTTGGGGAGCCTCATCGTCGAAGACCATACCAAAGAAAGAGCAAAGCCTCACCGTACCATCCCCACTCCACCTGCACCTGCGTGCTGGGCTCGAGAACGGGCAAAAGGCTCTCCGTTCCGTTGATGGTGCTGCAATTGTCGAAAGACAGCCTGTCGGTTTCCTTGTTTCGTTTTGGTCACCGACCCAGGCCTGCAAGGCAAAAGCAGCTGCTGAATTTTATGCAAAAGCAAGCTAACACCAACCAACAGGCAACGGATGCCATTCAGCGCACCGCAACAAATCTAGCGCAGTTCGCTCTGCTTTCGGTCAAAGGGCCACCAGGTCTGGCATCGAGGCAGACGCAAGAGGAACCGCTCCTGGGGCTCCTGTAGTGGTCACCTCCGCGGGGGAATGGGAACGAATCCACCCCCCCGACGGTACCTGAACACCGTCGCGAAGTCTTCGCTCGTCTTCGAAGCGAGTTTTTGTGTCACCTTGTGTCGCCCGCGGTTTCCGCGGGCTCTCCAGGCCGAAGAGGAGGCACGTGACGCCGTACACGATCGCCGGCATCCAGCTGGTGAAGACCGACGGAGCCCACAGACAGCGCAGCTGGAAGAGGGTGGCGAAGTCGAGCAGCTCCTGCGCTACGTAGTAGGGCGGAGTATGGTTTGCACTCGGCAGAGATTCTGTTCTCTGTTCTCGCGCATGAAGACTTCGAGCTTCTGGCTGGAGAAGCGCGGGGTGCTCGGCTTGTGATTCGGGAAAACGTGGAGTAGGCGCCACTTCGGCAAGGGCAGCATGAGCATCACCATCAGCACCGTTTTTAGCCTCAGCATCAGCCGCGCCCGCGGCCGCGCTTTTACTTCCACTCCCAGTAGCCGCCGTGAACTCTCTGCACATTTCCCGCACTGCTGCCGGTGTCAAGTTCCGCTCTCAGTGCCCTTCAGCGAATTCGTTCGGCGGTTCGATGAAGCAACTTCGCCGCCCGCAGTAGAAATAGCGCGCGCAGCGGAACCAGAGCCGGCGCGTCGGGTAGTCCTGCTCCGTCCACGTCATTTCTAGCTTCGTCGACGTCCCGGAACCCGATGCGCCCTAAGTGCCTCTCGAGTTCTTCTCTCTCCGCCTTCGGCAGCGACTCCTTCTTTCTCGAATGCTCCAACCTTTCCACCACCCGCCAGCCGATTAGCCGCATTGTGCACTTCTTGCGCATATGGAAGGCAACGTCCGTAGTCTTCTTGTCGCCGAAAACAGAACCTCCTCCCCATCCAGATGGAATTCTATCTGCAGGCCATTCGCTTGCCCCCGCGCTTGCAAAATGGAGATTAGCGCTACAGCTGGATCGAAGCGAATCTATGGAATCGGGCTGCAGCGTGCAGGCGGTAGCGCGCGCCCGGTACCATGCGACGCGAATCGTGAGGACTGTGAATGGCGAGGGCCCTCGCATTATCTCGCAACTTTTTGCTCCGCCGCTGTCTTGGCGCCGCAGTCTTTTTTTCGTGTGATGCCTCCTTCGCTGTGTGTTGTGGTGGGCAAGAAAGACAGTTTGCGCGCCACACGCCAATGCGACGAGCCAGCAAATCAAGGAGGACTTTGCAGAAAAGGTGAAGAGAGCGGACGGGCGTGAGGGCGCGTTCAGCTTTTCCCTAACGCGTCAGCGTTCGCCGTCACCTCGTGTAGCCAACGAGAGTAAGACTTCGAGGAGAGGAGCGGGGATCGTATGATAGGGAACGATAGCAGCTGCGACCCCTCCGGGCCGGGCGTGATCATGCGAGTTCAATCCAAAACGCCCGCGCTGTGGATGTCGGTATACACGGGCCCCGCATCCGGATTCGTGTAGCCTGATCCTGAAGCGAAACGCCTCCCGTGAAGGAGAGACAGGCTGTGGCAATCACGCGCACTCTCAACCCGCTCAATTTCCTGACGGCGCAGGGAGCATTTGCGCGGGCGGAGGATATCCCGAACCATGTGCGGAGCTAAAAGGAGGCCCATGCTGCGGGAGTTATCGCCGCGAGGAGTGAGGGAAAGGCGTAGACTGGTATATCAGCTGTGTTGTAGTTAGGCGCTTGCTCGGCACTGTTTAGACGTCTGCTCGGCACGGTGATCCGGGTCCGGGTCTGTAGGCTGATTAGCGACTTCGTCTATTGTGAGCTCTTGCGTATGATGTGTCTGCGTCCCCATCCCAGGGAAGTTTCGGAAACAAGTGCTGGCTTCTGGGAGTCTCAGACCCCTCGTGGGGAGGAGGTGGAGGCGGAAGTGGAGTCGTAATACTGGTAGCGATTGCGCGGTGGCAGCCGCAGGACCCCTCGCTCGCCGCGGTTGAGCGCGGGCACGCGACGCCGAAATAATTTCTCGCCATCGGCTTGATCTTTCCTTCGGGAGCCGCTCGCAGTCTTTTGTTTGAACTTGAAGGGGCAAAGACCTGAAGGAGGAGGAAAACGAATACAGCAACCGCTTCTCGCCGCTTCGCGCGTTGGCTCGTGCGCGACGACAAAGAAAATGGCTTGCTGCGCGTGTCTTTTGCCGCGCGACGTATGGGATGTGTACAGCTTCGAGGAGAAAATCGGCGCCGGCGCCTTTGGGCAGGTCCGACGGGCGAGGGACCACAAAACCAGACAGACAATAGCAATCAGGTCAAGAAAATAAGTCTGCAAGGTCCGTCGGTACGACTGATACCTACTCGGAAACATTGAGGCCCAAGAACAAGGACACCCGAGCGAGGCAGGTCGTCAGCACCAACATGGGGCCCGCGAGACGAAGAAGACACGAACGCGAACCGTCCGACCCCTGGGGCTTTTTGGTCGCCAACGGCTGAAGAAAGGCTCCAGGCGCTGTCATACGGGCCACGACTGGAGGAACTCGGTTGCGGAGGCAATTCCGCCGCACTGGCGGCCCGTCACTCAGCCTCTTTAGCGGCATCACCCCAAGCCGGGGGGCCGAAGAGTCAACTTGGCAGCTCCTTGCTCGGCCCACTACCTGCGCAGCCCCGGCCCCTCTCCAGTCTGTCAGCATGTACGGGGTGAATCAATGAGATCAAACCCAGGGCAGCACCAGACCAGAGGCTGCGCCGAACTCTGGGCGATGTTTGTAGGCCCGGCGCTTCGCGCTCAACTTCAAGCCCGGCGCCGGCTGTCCTATGTCGTCGCACCCACTCCATTCCCGTTCTTCAGTTCGCTCCAACTTGGCGCCAAAGTGACGCGGCTGCGACAGTGCACCGAACAAGGAGCAGAAAGGCCCGCACCCAGATCCGTTCAGCACTCGACTCCAGTCCAGTCCTGTCCGAGCTGTGTCACTCTCGCGCCCACTTGAAAGACAGGCCAGAGAATGTCCAAGGCCCAGCCCCACTCCTCTCCAGTCTATCAGACAGCGCGCGGCGTACGAAGAGAGCCAGCGACTACGGCACCAAGCCCAAGCCAGCACCAGACCAGACAACGCCAGTCCATGCCCAAGGCAAGACAA